CCCATGGTGTAGTGGTTATCACATCCGCCTAACACGCGGAAGGTCCCAGGTTCGAAACCTGGTGGGTACATTAGTTTTTCAGAAAATTTTGTAAGCGTTGGATTGAAGAATTTTCCCTTCCTGTGTTAAAGCTGGAAGATTAAGATGAGGTCTGTGTACGATGTTATGTGGAGGATCACCAAAAGTTTGGAACATTTTTTTATTTAACTCGCATTCTGTGAGACTTTCAGAGAATCTTTGCAGGAATTCAATTTCACTTGAACCAGGTAGGGAAAATGTCATCGCTCTTGTGTACCCATGGTGTAGTGGTTATCACATCCGCCTAACACGCGGAAGGTCCCAGGTTCGAAACCTGGTGGGTACATTAGTTTTTCAGAAAATTTTGTAAGCGTTGGATTGAAGAATTTTCCCTTCCTGTGTTAAAGCTGGAAGATTAAGATGAGGTCTGTGTACGAGTTTATGTGGAGAATGAAAAAAAGTTTGGAACATTTTTTTATTTAACTCGCATCTTGTGAGTCTTTCAGAGAATCTTTGCAGGAATTCAATTTCACTTGAACCAGGTAGGGAAAATGTCATCGCTCTTGCGTACCCATGGTGTAGTGGTTATCACATCCGCCTAACACGCGGAAGGTCCCAGGTTCGAAACCTGGTGGGTACATTAGTTTTTCAGAAAATTTTGTAAGCGTTGGATTGAAGAATTTTCCCTTCCTGTGTTAAAGCTGGAAGATTAAGATGAGGTCTGTGTACGATTTTATGTGGAGGATCACCAAAAGTTTGGAACATTTTTTTATTTAACTCGCATTCTGTGAGACTTTCAGAGAATCTTTGCAGGAATTCAATTTCACTTGAACCAGGTAGGGAAAATGTCATCGCTCTTGTGTACCCATGGTGTAGTGGTTATCACATCCGCCTAACACGCGGAAGGTCCCAGGTTCGAAACCTGGTGGGTACATTAGTTTTTCAGAAAATTTTGTAAGCGTTGGATTGAAGAATTTTCCCTTCCTGTGTTAAAGCTGGAAGATTAAGATGAGGTCTGTGTACGATGTTATGTGGAGGATCACCAAAAGTTTGGAACATTTTTTTATTTAACTCGCATTCTGTGAGACTTTCAGAGAATCTTTTGCAGGAATTCAATTTCACTTGAACCAGGTAGGGAAAATGTCATCGCTCTTGTGTACCCATGGTGTAGTGGTTATCACATCCGCCTAACACGCGGAAGGTCCCAGGTTCGAAACCTGGTGGGTACATTAGTTGTTCAGAAAATTTTGTAAGCGTTGGATTGAAGAATTTTCCCTTCCTGTGTTAAAGCTGGCAGATTAAGATGAGGTCTGTGTATGAGTTTATGCGGAGGATCACCAAAAGTTTGGAACATTTTTATATTTAACTCGCATCTTGTGAGTCTTTCAGAGAATCTTTGCAGGAATTCAATTTCTCTTGAACCAGGTAGGGAAAATGTCATCGCTCTTGTGTACCCATGGTGTAGTGGTTATCACATCCGCCTAACACGCGGAAGGTCCCAGGTTCGAAACCTGGTGGGTACATTAGTTTTTCAGAAAATTTTGTAAGCGTTGGATTGAAGAATTTTCCCTTCCTGTGTTAAAGCTGGAAGATTAAGATGAGGTCTGTGTACGATTTTATGTGGAGGATCACCAAAAGTTTGGAACATTTTTTTATTTAACTCGCATTCTGTGAGACTTTCAGAGAATCTTTGCAGGAATTCAATTTCACTTGAACCAGGTAGGGAAAATGTCATCGCTCTTGTGTACCCATGGTGTAGTGGTTATCACATCCGCCTAACACGCGGAAGGTCCCAGGTTCGAAACCTGGTGGGTACATTAGTTTTTCAGAAAATTTTGTAAGCGTTGGATTGAAGAATTTTCCCTTCCTGTGTTAAAGCTGGAAGATTAAGATGAGGTCTGTGTATGAGTTTATGTGGAGGATCACCAAAAGTTTGGAACATTTTTTATTTAACTCGCATCTTGTGAGTCTTTCAGAGAATCTTTGCAGGAATTCAATTTCACTTGAACCAGGTAGGGAAAATGTCATCGCTCTTGCGTACCCATGGTGTAGTGGTTATCACATCCGCCTAACACGCGGAAGGTCCCAGGTTCGAAACCTGGTGGGTACATTAGTTTTTCAGAAAATTTTGTAAGCGTTGGATTGAAGAATTTTCCCTTCCTGTGTTAAAGCTGGAAGATTAAGATGAGGTCTGTGTATGAGTTTATGTGGAGGATCACCAAAAGTTTGGAACATTTTTTTATTTAACTCGCATTCTTTGAGTCTTTCAGAGAATCTTTGCAGGAATTCAATTTCACTTGAACCAGGTAGGGAAAATGTCATCGCTCTTGTGTACCCATGGTGTAGTGGTTATCACATCCGCCTAACACGCGGAAGGTCCCAGGTTCGAAACCTGGTGGGTACATTAGTTTTTCAGAAAATTTTGTAAGCGTTGGATTGAAGAATTTTCCCTTCCTGTGTTAAAGCTGGAAGATTAAGATGAGGTCTGTGTACGATTTTATGTGGAGGATCACCAAAAGTTTGGAACATTTTTTATTTAACTCGCATTCTGTGAGACTTTCAGAGAATCTTTTGCAGGAATTCAATTTCACTTGAACCAGGTAGGGAAAATGTCATCGCTCTTGTGTACCCATGGTGTAGTGGTTATCACATCCGCCTAACACGCGGAAGGTCCCAGGTTCGAAACCTGTTGGGTACATTAGTTTTTCAAAAATTTTGTAAGCGTTGGATTGAAGAATTTTCCCTTCCTGTGTTAAAGCTGGAAGATTAAGATGAGGTCTGTGTACGATTTTATGTGGAGGATCACCAAAAGTTTGGAACATTTTTGTATTTAACTCGCATTCTGTGAGACTTTCAGAGAATCTATTGCAGGAATTCAATTTCACTTGAACCAGGTAGGGAAAATGTCATAGCACTTGTGTACCCATGGTGTAGTGGTTATCACATCCGCCTAACACGCGGAAGGTCCCAGGTTCGAAACCTGGTGGGTACATTAGTTGTTCAGAAAATTTTGTAAGCGTTGGATTGAAGAATTTTCCCTTCCTGTGTTAAAGCTGGAAGATTAAGATGAGGTCTGTGTATGAGTTTATGTGGAGAATCAAAAAAAGTTTGGAACATTTTTTTATTTAACTCGCATCTTGTGAGTCTTTCAGAGAATCTTTGCAGGAATTCAATTTCACTTGAACCAGGTAGGGAAAATGTCATCGCTCTTGCGTACCCATGGTGTAGTGGTTATCACATCCGCCTAACACGCGGAAGGTCCCAGGTTCGAAACCTGGTGGGTACATTAGTTTTTCAGAAAATTTTGTAAGCGTTGGATTGAAGAATTTTCCCTTCCTGTGTTAAAGCTGGAAGATTAAGATGATGTCTGTGTACGATTTATGTGGAGGATCACCAAAAGTTTGGAACATTTTTTATTTAACTCGCATTCTGTGAGACTTTCAGAGAATCTTTTGCAGGAATTCAATTTCACTTGAACCAGGTAGGGAAAATGTCATCGCTCTTGTGTACCCATGGTGTAGTGGTTATCACATCCGCCTAACACGCGGAAGGTCCCAGGTTCGAAACCTGGTGGGTACATTAGTTTTTCAGAAAATTTTGTAAGCGTTGGATTGAAGAATTTTCCCTTCCTGTGTTAAAGCTGGAAGATTAAGATGAGGTCTGTGTACGATTTTATGTGGAGGATAACCAAAAGTTTGGAACATTTTTGTATTTAACTCGCATTCTGTGAGACTTTCAGAGAATCTTTTGCAGGAATTCAATTTCACTTGAACCAGGTAGGGAAAATGTCATCGCTCTTGTGTACCCATGGTGTAGTGGTTATCACATCCGCCTAACACGCGGAAGGTCCCAGGTTCAAAACCTGGTGGGTACATTAGTTTTTCAGAAAATTTTGTAAGCGTTGGATTGAAGAATTTTCCCTTCCTGTGTTAAAGCTGAAAGATTAAGATGAGGTCTGTGTACGATTTTATGTGGAGGATCACCAAAAGTTTGGAACATTTTTTTATTTAACTCGCATTCTGTAAGACTTTCAGAGAATCTTTTGCAGGAATTCAATTTCACTTAAACAAGGTAGGGAAAAAGTCATCTCGCTTTTGTGTACCCTTGGTGTAATGGTTATCACATCCGCCTAACACGCGGAATGTACCGGGTTCGAAACCTGGTGGGTACATTAGTTTTTTATAGAATTTTGTAAGCGTTGGATTGAAGAAATTTCCCTTCCTGTGTTAAAGCTGGAAGATTAAGATGAGGTCTGTGTACGATTTTATGTGGAGGATCAAAAAAAGTTTGGAACATTTTTTTATTTAACTCGCATCTTGTGAGTCTTTCAGAGAATCTTTGCAGGAATTCAATTTCACTTGAACCAGGTAGGGAAAATGTCATCGCTCTTGCGTACCCATGGTGTAGTGGTTATCACATCGCCTAACACGCGGAAGGTCCCAGGTTCAAAACCTGGTGGGTACATTAGTTTTTTTATACAATTTTGTAAGCGTTGGATTGAAGAATTTTCCCTTCCTGTGTTAAAGCTGGAAGATTAAGATGAGGTCTGTGTACGATTTTATGTGGAGGATCACCAAAAGTTTGGAACATTTTTGTATTTAACTCGCATTCTGTGAGACTTTCAGAGAATCTATTGCAGGAATTCAATTTCACTTGAACCAGGAAGGGAAAATGTCATCGCACTTGTGTACCCATGGTGTAGTGGTTATCACATCCCCCTTACACGCGGGAAGTCCCAGGTTTGAAACCTGGTGGGAACATTATTTGTTCAGAAAATTTTGTAAGCGTTGAATTGAAGAATTTTCCCTTCTTGTGTTAAAGCTGGAAGGTTTAGATGACGACTGTGTACGATGTTATGTGGAGGAAAACCAGAAGTTTGGAACATATTTTTATTTAATTCGCATTCTGTAAGACTTTCAGAGAATCTTTTGCAGGAATTCAATTTCAATTGAACCAGGTAGGGAAAAAGTCATCGCTCTTGTGTACCCATGGTGTAGTGGTTATCACATCCACCTGAAACACGGAAGGTCTCAGGTTCTAAACCTGGTGGGTACATTAGTTGTTCAGAAAATTTTGTAAGCGTTGGATTGAAGAATTTTCCCTTCCTGTGTTAAAGCTGGAAGATTAAGATGAGGTCTGTGTATGAGTTTATGTGGAGGATCACCAAAAGTTTGGAACATTTTTTATTTAACTCGCATTTTGTGAGTCTTTCAGAGAATCTTTGCAGGAATTCAATTTCTCTTGAACCAGGTAGGGAAAATGTCATCAATCATGTGTACACATGGTGTAGTGGTTAACACATTCGCCTAACAGGCGGAAGGTCCCAGGTTCGAAACCTGCTGGGTACATTAGTTTTTCAGAAAATCTTGTAAGCGTTGGATTGAAGAATTTTCCCTTCCTGTGTTAAAGCTGGAAGATTAAGATGAGGTCTGTGTACGATTTTATTTGGAGGATAACCAAAAGTTAGGAACATTTTTGTATTTAACTCGCATTCTGTGAGACTTTCAGAGAATCTTTGCAGGAATTCAATTTCACTTGAACCAGGTAGGGAAAATGTCATCACGCTTGTGTATCCATGGTGTAGTGGTTATCACATCCCCTAACACGCGGAAGGTCCCTGGTTCAAAACCTGGTGGGTACATTAGTTTTTTAGAGAATTTTGTAAGCGATGGATTGAAGAATTTTCTTTCCTGTGTTAAAGCTGGAAGATTAAGATAAGGTCTGTGTACGATTTTATGTGAAGGATCAAAAAAAGTTTGGAACATTTTTTTATTTAGCTCGCATCTTGTGAGTCTTTCAGAGAATCTTTTGCAGGAATTCAATTTCACTTGAACCTGGAAGGGAAAATGTCATCGCACTTGTGTACCCATGGTGTAGTGGTTATCACATCCGCCTAACACGCGGAAGGTCCCAGGTTCGAAACCTGGTGGGTAAATTATTTGTTCAGAAAATTTTGTAAGCGTTGGATTGAAGAATTTTCCCTTGTGCTAAAGCTGAAATATTAAGTTGAGGTCTGTCTATGAGTTATGTGGAAGATCACCAAAAGTTTGGACCATTTTTTTATTTAACTCGCATTTTGTGAGTCTTTCAGAGAATCTTTGCAGGAATTTAATTTCTCTTGAACCAGGTAGGGAAAATGTCATCGATCTTGTGTACCCATGGTGTAGTGGTAATCACATTCGCCTAACACGCGGAAGGGCTCAGGTTCGAGACCAGGTGCGTACATTGGTTTTTGAGAAAATTTTGTAAGCGTTGGATTGAAGAATTTTCCCTTCCTGTGTTAAAGCTGGAAGATTAAGATGAGGTTTGTGTATGAGTTTATGTGGAGGATCACCAAAAATTTGGAATATATTTGTATTTAACTCGCATTCTCTGTGAGACTTTCATAGAATCTATTGCAGGAATTCAATTTCTCTTGAACCAGGAAGGGAAAATGTCATCGCACCTGTGTACCCATGGTGTAGTGGTTATCACATCCGTTAAATACGCGGAAGGTCCCAGGTTCGAAGCCCGGTGGGTACATTAGTTTTACAGAAAATTTTGTAAGCGTTGGATTGAAGAATTTTCCCTTCCAGAGTGTTAAAGCTGGAACATTAATATGAGGTTTGTGTACGATTTTATGTGGAGGATCACCAAAAAATTGGAACATTTTTGTATTTAACTCGCATTCTGTCCGACTTTCAGAGAATCTTTTGCAGTAATTCAATTTCACTTGAACCAGGTAGAGAAAATGTCAACATGCTTGTGTATCCATGGTGTAGTGGTTATCACATCCGCCTAATACGCGTGAAGGTACCAGGTTCGAATCCCGGTGGGTACATTAATTGTTCAGAAAATTTTGTAAGCTTTGGATTGAAGTATTTTCCATTCCTGTGTTAAAGCTGTAAGATTAAGATGAGGTCTGTGTACGATTTTATGTGGTGGATCACCTAAAGTTTGGAACATTTTTTTATTTTACTCGCATTCTGTGAGACTTTCAGAGAACCTTTTGCAGGATTTCAATTTCTTTTGAATCACGTAGGGAAAATGTCATCGTTCTTGCGTACACATGGTGTAGTTGTTATCACATCCGTTAAATACGCGGAAGGTCTCAGGTTCGAAGCCCGGTGGGTACATAAGTTTTACAGAAAATCTCTTGTAAGCGTTGGATTGAAGAATTTTCCCTTCCAGTGTTAAAGCTGGAAGATTAAGATGAGGTCTGTGTACGATTTTATGTGGAGGATCACCAAAAGTTTGGAACATTTTTGTATTTAACTCGCATTCTGTGAGACAGTAATTCAATTTCACTTGAACCAGGTAGGGAAAATGTCATCGTGCTTGTGTACCCATGGTGTAGTGGTTATCACATCCGCCTAATACGCGGAAGGTCCCAGGTTCGGAACCCGGTGGTTACGTTAATTGTTCAGGTAATTTTGTAAGCGTTGGATTGAAGAATATTTTCCCTTCCTGTGTTAAAGCTGGAAGATTAAGATGAGGTCTGTGTACGACTTTATGTGGAGGATCACCAAGAGTTTGGAACATTTTTTTATTTAACTCGCATTCTGTGAGACTTTCAGAGAATCTTTTGCAGGAATTTTCAATTTCACTTGAACCAGATAGGGAAAATCTCATCTTTCCCGTGTACTTATTGTGCAGTATTTATCACATACGCCTAACACGTGGAAGGACCCAGGTTCGAAACAAGGTTTGTATATTAGTTTTTCAGATAATTTGGAGGGCGTTGGGTTGATGGATTTTCCCTTCCGGTGATAAAGCTGGAAGAGTAAATAAGGTCTGTGTACCATTTTATGCGGAGGATCACCAAAAGTTTGGAATTTTTTTTTTATTTAACTTGCATTCTTTGAGAATTTCAGAGAATCTTTTGCAGGAATTCAGTTTCGCTTGAACCACGTACGGAAAATCTCATCTTTACTGTGTAACCATGGTGTAGTGGTTATCACATCCGGCTGACCCGCGGATAGTCCCAGTTTCGAAACCTGTGTGTAGAATTTTTTTTCAGATAATTTGGTGAGCAGTGGATTGAAACATTTTCCCTACCGGTGTTGAAGCTGGAAGAGTAAGATGAGGACTGTGTACGATTTTATGTGGAGGATCACCAAAAGTTTGGAAATTTTTTTTTTAACTCGCACTCCGTGAGACGTTTAGAGAATCTTTTAAAGAATATCAATTTGACTTGAACCAGCTCTTTTCTATTACATACCCATCATTTAGTGGTTCTTATATCGACTGAACATGTGGAAGACCCGTAATTCGAAACGTGGTTGGTACAAGTTTAAATTACTTATCAATTTTATTCTGAATGTTTACAATTAATCTTTCGTACATTATGGGTTCATGTTATTAGGTTTTCATTAATCCATCAGGAATATAATAGTCAAACAAATAAGCTCCCACTGGTGTTCCTATTACAGAGGAACAGTTTGAACCGATTTTTTTAAATAAATGATTCCATGGAATAGAGTTTTGGACTTGCGTCTGCGGAGCTGAAACTCCTAGGTTGAAAACCTGATAGGTTCACTTCGCACGACAGAATTGGTTGATTTTTAAATTTTTGATGAAAGTTTAATCCTTCACTTTTTTAATTCTGCGCTTCCATCGGTTTCTTTTTTAATTTCACGCAAAAATGCTTTCTGTTTTATTGTATTCTCACAAAATCAGGAAACTTTTTACCATATGGCATGAGAGCCCAAGCGCGTAACCATGGTGTTGCGTTCATCGCATCCTCCCAACGCGCGGAAGATCTCATGTTCGAAAGCTTTTGGGTACGTTGGCTTTTGCAGATTATTTGGTGGGTTTTGGATGAAAATGTTTCCTCTTTCTTTCTTACACCTAGAGAAGTATATTTAGGCATGTGTTCGATCTTCAGTAGAGAGCCTCCAATATGTGTTTCGATTTTTTTTAACTAAGTTGCATTATATGATATATGCAGAGAAACTTTTGTGGGATATCGATTTGGCTTGAACCAGTTACAAATAAACTCGGCTCAGATGCGTACATAGGATGTAGAGGTTATCCCTACACCTCGCACGTGGAAGGACTGCTGTTTGAAATTTGGTGGATATATATTGTTTTTTATTGCTAATGAAGTGGGTTGTGATTTTACTATATCTTCTCGTCAGTACTTTTAGAATTTACAGAAAAGGGAGTGATTTCTGATAAGGCAAACTTACGGTCTCCAATATCCTGCCTCCTTTTTAAAATTAATTCTTAGTAAAAAAGTCATTGACAGGTTTTTCTGGACTTATATGAAGTAGTTTTTGAACCACTTAACGATTAATAAGTTCTTGCGATATATTAATGGTGTAGTGGTTATCTCGTCCACCTGACATACGGATGGTCCCAAGGTTCGAAACCCTGTGTGTGCATTGGCTTTTGCAGATGATTTGGTGGGTTTTGGATGTGAAAATGTTTTCTCTTCCTTTCTCAGAGCTAGAGAAGAATGAGAGATTAGAGGTATGTGTGTGATCTTCAGCGGAAGATCTCCAACGTTTCAATCATTTAATTTCTACTATTAGTTCACTCTCACCCTATATATATTTATTTTTATATATATCTAGTTCGAATTTTCCATCATTAATAAAATACCTTTTATTTATCCACTGGAATCTCAAATACATTTTTTAAAACTTGTAGTAGATGACACTTGATGTCAATACGGTTTGTTTCAAATATTAATTCATTAATTAAACTTTATCTTTTAATTTTAAATTTATTCTGCGTTATTTGGGCCACAGTTTGAACAAGAACCTAGCCAATAGTTTTTCTAACAAATTTTTTCTTGGCTTCAAATATATATATTTTTTAACTTGTAGTGGATGATACTTGATGCTGATACAGTTTTTAAAATTATTAATTCCTTAATTAAATTTAAGAAACAAGTAAACTCTTTCTTTGTTCACCTGAGTAGGAATTGATTTGAAAAAAAAATTATATTACTTGCTTTTTAACTAACTCGGATTATATGAAGCATTCAGAGAAACTTTTGCAGAAAATCGATTTGACTTGAGCTAGTTATAGATAATCTCGTATCAGGCGCGTACCTATGGTGTAATGATTATCATGTCCGCCTAACACGCGATTGGTCCTAGGCTCTAATCCCGGTAGGTACATGCTTAAATAGCTAAATTATGTTATTCTGAAATTTTCTAGTAGATATTTTTTCGGTCCATGGCGATTTTTTGACTTTTGTGCAGGGGGTAAAGTCTTTCTTTACCTGTCCCTGCTTCTCCTGCTCATCTTCTGGACTACTGGGGCATTTCCCTGCGACAGTTGTATGAAGAGCAAGACCTGGTGTGTAAGACTATTACGCGGAAAGGTCAAATGGTGTAGGCTTTCCTGCTCCAAGGGAATTGGAAACAACAACAACAGCAGATATTTTTTTAAACATTACTTAAAACAATCTCGTCTCAATATATCTTGTATGAATTAATATGTGTTCGTTTTGGTACAAAGTATTGCAGAATTTAGTAGACCGAGAAGAAATTTCAATGAGGTTTTCGAAATTCAATAGTAGGTTAAAGGCGACGACAAAATGGTGCTACGAGGTACGAAGCGTATTTCTAAAGCTAAAGTGTCCGGATTGGAAACACTGCGTTAGGTGTATTTTCTCTGCCTTTGATTAATGTTTAGAATATTGTTTTGCAACGAAATCTTCAGGTTTGCTTACCATGTACAGTATTGGCTCATCTTATTTGGTTTTCCATTAATTCATTCGGAATGTAATAGCGAATAGAATAAATCCCCACTGTTGTTGAAAATACATTGAAACAGTGTAACCGATTTTTTTCATATACGATTCAATGGTGTAGAGGTTTGATATGTGCCGGTGGAGCAAAAAATCCCAAGTTGGAAGCCTGGTTGGTTCACTTCGAATGGCAGAAGTGCTTGACTCTTATATTACCGATGAATGTTTTATTTTAACAATATCTCGGAATATAGTTGAAAAAGAACTTTTTTTTCTGCATGGTATTTAAAAGTTATATGCTATCGAGACAAATTTCAAGTGTACGTAATTGGAGTACCCGCGATGTAGTGGTTATCACATGCTCTTTTTGCGAGGAAGTTACCTGGTTCAAATCCGGGTTGTTTTGGTTTGCCATTTGGGAGGTGGTCCTTGGCGCAGTTTAGACGGAATTGGTTCTTGTACCATAAAACTCCACACTCATTCACTTACTCACTTGAGAAGTGCTACATTCTGTATACTTGCGTATGACGAATATTTCATCTATGACTTTTCTTCCATAAGTCGCAAATATTAAAGGACATGAACATATTTTAAGTTTTGTGAAATATTTGTAATATACGAAGTGGGGCTCCCCTAAAGAAAGAAACTGATGCTATAAAACATTTTATTTTGTTTCATACTCATATTTACTTATTATCATCCTCAATGCCCAACTCTCCTCTATCCCTACAACGTTCCATACGAATCTTCCATTGTTTGAAACAGTTCTGAAAGTTTTCTTGTGTCTGCTTCTATAAGATGTGTACTGTTTTCTTTTTTACAGCTTAAATGGACTCAACACTTGTTCCTTTTAATGAAAATTTTGCCTAAAGAAACTGATAGAAATTGCATGGTACAAGATCCAGTGAATAAAACGGATGATCTTACACTAGACTGCTGTAATTGAAAAGAATCTTTTTGACAGACAATGCGGACAGAGACGTTTCTTGATGAAGAACCCATGCCTCGTTCTGCAACAGTTCGATTCTTTTTTCCCTTATTCTTTCACGAAGTTCTCTTGAGAATGTGAAGGTTGTAATGTTGATTAATAGTATGATCTTCCAAAAACCAGTGAAGATACACAATCTGTTGAACATTGGAAAAAATCATCAACTTTGCTTTGATATTTGTTTTGCTCATTCTAGCATTTTTGGCTCCGGTGAAGAGGGGCTCTTCCAGTTCATGAATAGACGCTTCGTTTCAATTTCATAAGTAATAAAAAAAACACGGTTCCTCACTTGTTATTAACCTTTTCAATAAGTTTGCTCATTTTCGATGACATTCAAATCGTCAGTGCAAACATTTTTTCGAGCTTTTTGTTTCTCAAACGAGATAGTTGAAGCCATCATGCCATAATTATTAAGTAAAACTTGCTCTGAGCGGATTCTTAGTCAATTCCTACAGTCTAAATTGCAAGAGCACTTTTTTCGATTCTTTCAGACGTGTTTGACGTGGAAGGAGGATCCAGGTATAAATCAACTTCAACGTCTACTCGGCCATTTTGAAAACGCTTAAACCACTAAAAAACAGGGTAATTACAAATGATGGATCCGATTTTAAAAAATCATATTATCGAAATTATTTTACATATTCCAGTAAGTGATACATGAATTTAAATAGAAATATACATTTTTTCCGTTACTAATATTCAAAATGGGATCCGCTTATTTACATGACGTACGCTCAATCTCTCATTCATTTCATTCCGTACATTTTGTAATATCACTTTATCAACGGTTCATAATGCTGCACATATGCTTACTTGTCGGCTTCTGTTACTTCCTGTGTCAATTGCAAATGATACGGCTTGAAATTTGTTATTTTTTTCCGTATACTTTATATACCGTTTTCTGTGACATTACAAGCTCAAGGTGGCAGGTCTCTTAGACTTCTGTGAATTTTGAACAAAACTCTGCCTCACCCTCTCCACTGGTTCTTCCGAGACGCTTGGTCAGCCACTGCTTTTCTTTTTACTTGATACTATCGCGGAATTCTCTTGTTGGTGGCTGCTTCTTTTCCATAGCAATTTCTTAATGCACGTAGCACCGAAATAACTGAAAAAAACCGTGCATAGTCTAATACTCAAAAACTCTTCTATGTCATTGTCATCATGTTTAGATTTCAATCACAGGGATCTTGAATGTGCTGTTGATCACTGTTCAGAAATAAACTTGATACATTTCTCTTTGCCTTCAGGTATCACATATTGTAATATAAGCAGTAGATTCGAAAATACGATGTTTTAAAATCGGGTCCATGCTTTAAACTCACCAGGAGCGTAGCTACTGTATCAATGATACGGGGCCCCCAAGATACAGGGGCCCCAACACATGTGAGTAAAACTTGTTATATATGTATTGGGGTCCCAAAAAAGGGTGTGCAAGAAGTTATGATACGGGGCCCACTCAGGACTATCAACGCCAGTGGTGCTCACTCTGTACTTCTGTTACAAAAGCCATTTTAACTTTCCTTGTTCATATGGCTTGCATTTTTATAACACACTGGTTGGTCAAATTCGGTAGCTGATGCAACATTGAATTTTCTCACCACGGAATGTGTCGTCACGGAATTTTTAAGGAGATAAATTTGCAGTTAAGAAGTGTCGGTATCCCAACACGACAATGTTAAATTGAACCTTTCCATGCACCTTTTTCTCAGAACATTAAACGTAAAGTCTTAAAATTTTGTCTACATATTAATATGACTTTTACAATTATACTGAAGAGGAAGTTTTCAAACATATTGTTTAGCTTTTTTTTCAAAGACGCTTACAGAGCATCACTATGAATTTATTGAAAATTGTCACTTTTGCTTACGATATCTGGTCTCTAGCCAAATATTTTGCGAACATCTCAAAAAGCTTACTTCAGTATTTATAATTACGAATTCGTAATGCGCAGTAAAAAATGCAGGGGCTTTCATACAATTGATTCTGAGAAAAAAGTACCCGCAATTTTAAAAGCATCATTTTGAGAAAATTACATTTTTACATAAAATATCACTTTGTCACAAAAATGATAAATTGCAACCTGTATTTGCCCTATATATTTTAAACATTATCCCCATATCTATTTTTCAATTCCTACTATTAGCTCACACTCTCTATATATTTATTTATTTATCTTGATGGAGAATTTTCAATCGTTAATAAAATACATTTTAAAGTGAGCTGAAATTTTATATATATGATTATTTTGGATGACAATACAATAAAATTTTATTAAAATTAAAAATTAATTGATTAAAACTAATTATTTAAAGAATTACAAATATAGCCCCGTTGGCATCCTTTTTGGCGACTTAGCGACCCTTTTAGCGACTTGTGTCAAAACATGAAAAGCATTTTTTCTCACGTTTTAAGGCATACAGTTGAACTGAAATTTTATATGCACGATTGTTTTGAATGACAATATGATACTTTTAATGATAATTAATAAAAATTAATAACCACTTATTGCTGTGATTCTGCCATATGTATATACATATTTATATCAATTGTAACTATTTAATAAAAAGTAGCTAAAATAAAAATTTTCTTTGTTGATCTTAGTAGGAATTGACTTAATTTTTTTTTTTGTTACTTGTGTTTTTTCTTTCCTCTTTTTCTTAGTTTGTTCAGAAAATGTAGCAAATATTGTATACCTTCATAAAATACTTACCTTTTCCCTTTTTTTAAGGTTATTTGGGCAGCTTATTTTGTGTTGCATTCTCAAGAAAATAATACATACAAGTGCAGTTGAGGAAATACACGTACATATTCTATTTTTTCAATCCCGTTTTCGATACTCCGGCATTTTCTCAACCTTAGGTCCACATTAGACCACAATTTTGGAACTTTACTGGGTTTTTTTATTTTTATTTATTACTTTAATGAAAAAAGTGGCACCTTAAGATGTTATATGGTGCCGCACTTGTTTTCAGTTGAATCAATCCATGTAATGCAGCGCTTCTCAAGCTGTGGGGTGAGCCCCCTTGAGGGGGGGACGTGGCAATTCTACGAGGGGGGCGTGGGCATATTGAAAAGTCAAAAACTAAAAATTATTTTAAAAAATTATTAATTTACTGAAAGTAAAGAAACAAAATAAATTCTGACATAATAATAAAAAAAACACGTTTTCACTGCTATATTACACTTACAAATGTATCAGTGCTACACAATGTATTTTATAGCTAATTTAACTATACTAAGTTAAGAACAAATTTAATAACTCCCAGTGACCCCGTGGGATTGTTATACATAAATTTATGTACAAAAATTAACACTTATCTTGATAATTTGTACAGTTAATAACAAATTCCTTAACTGCCTATTTAAAGTTACGCGATTCGCTTCCCTATGCCAACCCTTTTCCTAGTAGGAGCTCGTATGCGATATATTAGGGGGAA